ATAGAATAGAATAGAATAGAATAGAATAGAATAGAATAGAATTCTTTTATTGGCCAAGAGTGACTGGACACACTAGGAATTTGTCTTTGGTGCAAATGCTCTCAGTGAACATAAAAGAAAAGAGACATCCGTCAAGAGTCAAGAATCATCAGGTCCAACACTTAATGATAGTCAGAGGGTACAATAAGCAATCAAATCATACTAGGAAACAGTCAGTATAAATCATTGGAATACAAGCAACAAGATTATAGTCCCAAGCGGAAGGGGGTGGGTGATAAGGAGGGAAGAGAAGATGAATAGTAATAGTCATGCAGACTTTGTAAATAGTTGGACAGTGTCAAGGGGATTATTTGTTTAGCAGAGTGAGGGCGTTCGGGGAAAAACTCCCCTTGTGTCTAGTTGTTCTGGGGTGCAGTGCTCTATAGCGTCGTTTTGAGGGTGGGAGTTGAAACAGTTTATGTCCGGGATGTGAGGGGTCTGTAGGTATTTTCACAGCCCTCTTTTTGACTCGTGCGGGATGCAGGTCCTCCGTGGGAGGCAGGTTGGTAGCCATTGTGTTTTTTCTGCAGTCCTAATTACTCTCTGAAGCCTGTGTCTGTCCTGTTGGGTTGCAGAACCAAACCAGATCTGTTGGGTCTTCAACTATTGGCTGGAATATTGGGGGTTTTGCACCCCAAGATCTCTAGATCCTGGGATCAAAATCCAGACTCATCCCTTGCTACCACAGAGCAAATGAATCCACTCACCCTTTGACGCCTTTGATTGCCTTGTTTTTCGTTGCTGCCATTTTTGCCATTCCATCCAAAATCTTCTTGTCTGTCATGGCTACCTGGACGACTGAAACACAGACACAAAGAACCGATGCCCAACCCAACCCATGAGGCTTTGTACCACGAGGAGGCCCACCCCAGCACTAGAAGGGCGGAACCCCGCCTCCCACCACAGCTCCCGGGTTCTGTTTCCATCACCACCACCGCTGAATGCAAAGACTGCTATTTAGAGCTCCAGTGGCACAGTGGTTGGAATGCGGCATTGCAGGTTAATTCTGCCCTCTGCCAGCAGTTCAATTCTGACCAGCTCAAGGTTGACTCAGCCTTCTGTCCTTCCAAGGTCAGTAAAATGAGGACCCAGATAGTTGGGAGCAAGTAGCTGACTCTGTAAACTGCTTAGAGAGGGCTGGAAAGCACTGTGGAGTTATATGTAAGTCTAAATGCTATTGCTACAGCTATTGATATCTTCTACTTGGGGGAACAAAAGAAAAAAGAAACCAGAGATGTAAATAAATTTATGATACAATAAAACTGCTAAATGAACAAGACTGCATGTTCAAGAAACTGGATGGATGGATGGGAGGGAGGGAAAGAAGGAAGGAATGAAGGAAGGGAATGAGAAGGGAATGAGAAGGGAATGAGAAGGGAATAAGGAGAAGGAAGGAAGGAAGGAAGGAAGGAAGGAAGGAAGGAAGGAAGGAAGGAAGGAAGGAAGGAAGGAAGGAGGGAAGGAAATTAGAAGGGAATGAGAAGAAGAAAGGAAGAAAGGGAATGAGAAGGGAAGGAGAAGAGAAGGAAGAGAAGGGAGGGAGGGGGGAGGGAGGAAGAAAGGAAGTTAGAAAGGAATAAGAAGAAGGAAGAAAGGAAGAATGGAAGGAAGGAAGGGAATGAGAAGGAAATGAGAAGAAGGAAGGAAAGGAATGAGAAGAGAATGAGAAGAAGGAATGAAGAAGGGGGGAAATTAGAAGGGAATGAGAAGAAAGAAGGAAGGAAGGGAATGAGAAGAAGGAAGGAAGGAAGGAGGGAGGGAAATCAGAAGGGAATCAGAAGAGAAGGAAGAATAGGAGGAAGGGAGGAAGTTAGATGAGAATCAGAAGAAGGAAGGAAGAATAGGAGGAAGGGAAGTAGAACAGAATAAGAATGAGGGGAAGGAAGGAAGGAAGGAAGGAAGGAAGGAAGGAAGGAAGGAAGGAAGGAAGGAAGGAAGGAAGGAAGGAAGATTCCTCTATCTGCACCTATATACTACTAAACTGCTTCTGTTTGTCTTTGTGTAACCTTTCACTGGACAAAATAATTTACCACAGGGCTTTAAAAAAAACAAACAAAAGGGTACCCCAAATGAGCTAACTTAGAAAATGTGTCCAAAGTCTGGGACCTATAAGTTTTGTGGGATTAAAATTTGGCAAATTTTAGCTCACATTTGATGGCAAATATTTTAATAAAGCCATTGATTACGTCCAACAAAATATCATAAAACATTTCCTGCAGTCCGTGCCTGAGGTTTAGCCGCCTGTACGGTTGCAGAAGATCCGTGTCTGAATACCTCCCTGAATAAGCCAGTCAACTCCACCTTAGGCCAACCTATTGCAAGTTTGGTGCCAGAAAAGTTTGCTGTCTTACTTACTGCGTGTGATTGCTTTGGGGTCCATTTTCAGCTGAGGTCCATAGGTCTCCCCTGTTTCAGAACGGACCATCTGAACACAGAAGAAGACCAGCAACCCAATCCAGGGTCTCCTGAGAGTTACATCCATGGTGGCTGAGATCCTTCTAAACAACAGACTGGAGAGAGAGTCAGAAACGAATCCTTGGCTATGAAAAAGGGGAATAAGAACAGCAATATTTAGATCCAGGGGATCAGAGCAGAGGGGAAGAGAAGGCCATTTTAGTCTCAAACTAAGGATGTCCTCAAATAAAAAAAAATCTCCTCACTTTTGGCTTTTGGAGAGAGTGAGAAGTGTTTTATTCTAATCATTTCCCATGATGGCGGAGCCTCAAAGGCTCAAAATGGCAGACACTGAGCTGCTGTAGCCCTGGAGAACATGGGTTCCCCTTATAACACCCAGTCTCTGGTCTTCTGCCCACGTTGACCCTCTCATCTTGTAGAAGAAGGACAGAGTCAAAGATCTGATGGGCACTCCAACTCAAGGGACAGAGCCCAGAAGTATCTGATGACTGTCCATAAGAAAGGCAACTGGAAGAAACTGAGAGCGAGAACCTCAATTTACAACTCTGCAGAAGAAGACATGGGTGGCCCTTTCTAATCCTGCTGGAATTCTTCAGACTCTGGAGCTAAAGATGCAGGAATGGCTGGATGGAAGACTCAACCCCAATCTTACATATCCATCAACTTTCTTAGAAGGGGCCTCTTCCACCATCTGGGGTACCTTTGAATCATCACACAGTTGACTTACATGTCTGGATGGATGGAGCTTCCTCAGGGTGCTCAGATCTGTCCGCCCTAATCTTCTCTTGGGCTGCCAGTTATATAGTTGCTTGTGAATGAAAGAACCAATTCAGGGCTTTGATAACCATGGAGATGCGATACAAACTCACAAGGAGATTTTCCAAGATAAATATTTTTCACAGACATCTTGAAACTTAGAGAGACTCTTCAGTGCCAGATTCACGTGACTCTTCCAAAGATCTATTGAACCAATATCTTGGCTCCGAGAAAGTTGGCTTCCCACCCAGAATGAGAGAGAAAAGGAGGAGAAGTGGGCTATTCAACATTGTTGGCAATCTTGGCACCAATCTGGGAGACCAACCCCCAGAATTATGGGAGTTGAAGTCCACATATCTTCAAGGT